GTTCTGTAGCATAAAATATGGTAAGATGACATAAAAAAAAGATAAATTTGAGTGCTAAGGCTAAGTTCGACAGATCGTAAAAGTAAAAAAAATATATTTAAAAAAAAATAAATAAATGAAGAGGTGGAATGCACTCGGCGTAAAAACCGAGCCAAGGTCTGCAAAGTAGAAGAAAAAAAAATGTAACAATTGGTTGCATTCCGAAAGAGCCGCAAACACATCAATAATTGGGGCTTGATTAGTAGTAGAAGAAAAAATAATGAAGTAATGACTTCATTCCTCGAGATTACGCGAATCTATTGAATGCCTTGCATAAAATTTAAATTAAACTCCATTCACGTACGAAGGATACATTTTTATCGAACACTTTCTATAATCGAATTATCACTTGTCCCAGCAAATCATTGTTGCGTTTTTTTTTTCTTCATTCTTTTGAAATTAAGTGCTAAATGCATGGTAATAGCAGCAAACAGATCCATTGCAGGCAATTAAAAGCTATTACGTTCAATAAAGAATGTTTGTCTCAATTTTCTTATCCACCGACGTTTAATTACATATATATATATAATTGTTATTCAGATGAGTCACGGTTATAAGAAAAATTAATTATAATGTTGCACTTTGCGAGGTATGTGAAGAGGTATGAATTTGTAAACGTTTCACTTTTTTTCTATTCCTGCATGTTGTTACAATTCTCTATTGTTGTGTTTCGTGTTCGCAATCGTCGCTGAGCGAAGCACATCATAAATCGTCGCAGAAGGAGCAAGCAGTGCGCGCTCGTAATTGAAATGCGGAGCGAGCGGTGGTCCTCGAGACTGATGAATCAATAGATTCATCATCGTCTCTCGGATGCATATGCAATTAAAGCGGCTCATTAATTTGCGCAACGTGCGAACTCGTACATCAAACGTTTACCTTTTATAGGTGGTTTTTGCTACTGATGCTGCTGCTGATATGAGAGACGACCGTGTTCGATCTTTTCTTGGGTGTTGATGGTGATCTTGGTGTGACCTGAGAACGAGATGACTCCTTGGAATTCCTCCTACGTCTTCGGCCACGACAACGTCAGCGGCTGGGGTGGACGCTACTTCTTCACGTACTTCAACCAGCTCGGGGACAGGTCCACTAGTTTGGTAGCATTCGAGGTCGCCGTCTTCGCAATCATCTTCCTTGTGTCCATAGTCACGAACATTGCTATAGCGACGTGCGTTTTTCGGTAAGTAAAACAAAAAACAAAAAAATATACCTACAACCAACTACACAATACTTGACAAGTTACAAACTACTTAGTCAAACAGGATAAGTAAATGCATTCAGTTTTTCTAATTAAAGAAAACTAATTAGAAAATGCTTACTTCTAATAATGCATGGATTATATTTGATTGGTTCCAAGATTATCTTCATCCTGAATAGGTCATTAATGATCTGCTCAGTCACAAAAGATATATACATTACAATTATAATTAAGTACAATTTGCTTAACATAACGAATACTCTCAGTATTTTCTAATTGAATATAGTTATACCTCGATTAACGAATAATGCAACTTATTCCTCGAAAATAGTTTTTCTCTTTCATTTAACATTTTTTCCTAAATCAAGATCATTTTCACTATAAAAATGTAAAACCTTTATAAATTTTGGATAATTTTTGACATTTTGTCTTCATTTCCCTTGTCTTTGTTTGCTTATTTTGGATGGTACTTATAGAAAATCTCATGTACCTTGACTTACGAACTAGTACCGTTCCAAAAAGTTGTCCGTAAGTCGAATTTGTTCGTAAACCGGGGGAATTTTAAAAATTTCAAAATATACTTATGTTACCACACTTTATCATGGTTTTTATTATTATATTACTGACTGCATAAAATTGAAAAAATAGATTAAAATAAATAAAATACTTACTTACAAATACTTTTCTATGTAGACATCACAATTATTTAAACGACAAAAGAAACAAATGCAACAAAACAGAATTTTGTTCGTAAGTTCTGTAAGCTCATTCATTAATTCAAAGTTCTCAAATATTTCCATTTTACTTTATAAATTTTAATATTTATTAAATAAATCAATGACTGAACTCTATTATTATTATTCAATAAAGTATGCAAATCTGTCAATATTTTATAAAACAACAACTGTTATTTTCTATGTATTGTTTAATAATGCCACACAGTTAACAAAAAACAGAAACACACGGAAATCAATACCTGAATTTGCCTCCGTCCGCTTTGGTTATTATTGAAGCTTTGAATTGCATAAATTTTGCATTCGTACGCCACATTTTATGGATTAGTTAAATGCACACGGATCTCGTGAAACATAAATTCCTCATATCCGGTTAAATGGTAAAAGCAGTAAATAAAAGAGACCACGATAAAAGATAATTTAACCATGACATATTTAACAGTTCAACTGAAACAATAAAATATTTGATAAGATATTCGTACAGTTTGATATAATTGTAATAAAATTGTGTATACTTAAACGTCCTAAGTTGTAAAGTTTCAATCAACACATCTTTAATGTAAAAATATACAGTAAAACCTGTTTTTGTGCGGTAGATAAGAATCGTATAAAAAAATCACACAAAAAAATATTCGACATTTTCATAAATTCTTACATATAACAAATAACTTTGTACATTACATAAAAAATCGCACTTAAAAAATACGTTAAAGATTTACGTAATAGATGAGAAAGTGCATAAGTTCTCATTGTACAAGAAATTTTCAAAATGCACATACATGATTCACTTCTACTCGTGTTACTCCAAAATGCGCTTCTTCTTGTGATGAATTGGTTCAAAATCGACTAACAGAATCGTTTGATCAGGCTGTACACTGATAGAAAACATTACAATGGTTCCAACGCCGTTGAAATTGGTTGCATTCCATATACCGAAAAAAAAAATCGCACAAACATAAAATCAAATAAAAAAGGACCGCACAAAAACAGGTTCTACTGTCTGTAATATATGAAATAATCACTTAATTTTTAATTAAGATATTCTTAATAATTGGGAAAAAAAATTATAACTAATAGAAATGATTTTTTATGTTAAATAATCATATTTGAAACAAAGAAAATTAAAGAATAAATATTGAAGTTTTTCTTAAGATATTTTTACTATTAGAAGAAAATTAATTTTTATATACGAATTAATCAAATTTTAAGTATTCCTACTTACATAGTTTTATATTTCAATTCAATAATGAACTTAATTAGAATAATGCAATTATTCACATGAAATGAAAATTCGCTTGAAATATATACTACATAGATTCGTATATGAATTTTCAGAACGTTGAAACAAAGTATTGAACGAGTGCATTTCAATTGTACATAAAAATCAATGGGCATCCGGAATTAAAGACGCAGTAGCATCAATTCGATAGAGTGAATTTAAGTAATACTGAAAGGGCGTTTCGCTAAAAATAAAATCGGCAATAGCCTTTTTAAGCAATTTGCATATATTCTTGGATTTCCATCCCCCACACGCCAAACAGGAAGCCTACCACCCACTAAACCTTATTTTCTCCGTTTCATCTGCGAGGATTTTCCAGTTTCTTTTCCCTTCTCTCTACATCCCTTTGCTTTTTCACGGTTGCACGATTTCCAAATGGCATCGCTCGATGCGCGAAACGACTTCTTTAAACTTTCCTATTTTCCTGTCCGATGCAATGAATTAGGAGCAGAAGTTTACAGCGGAAAAACAAAGGTAGATATAGATAGAGAGAGGAAGTGGGGAAAATCCTGCTAATTGACAGCCCGACGCATTGCAATTACTTTCCATTAACTACCAATATATTGGACTAAAACCGCTGCATTTAATCTAATTGCAATTGCAGAGCGTTCGTTCTGAATAATTATCGAGACGAAGCGCAGTTTTGGGATTTCCGCAGGTACATGTTAATTTTAGAATGAAATTCACATATTGTATTTATGTATAAACTACATATATTGAAATAATAATAATAACAGAATTCGAATTTATTAATTAATTTAACAATTATAATTGGTTGAAAAGACAAACATTAATTTACTTTAATTACAATACTGATTGCAGCAATTATACAATAACATTACTTGCATAAAAGTGCTGAAAATAATACATAATAGCATTGCAAACGTATAATTACATAAACTTGTACCAAAAGACATCAAAATAAAAATAAAACCTTGAACGTTTCCAATCTTATACCATCATAATCGTTTCAATCTATCTATTCTAATTGTTTATATTTTAGATATCCAGATATGAAGACAGTAACGAACAACTTCGTCCTGAATTTGGCTGCTGCCGATTTATTATTCGCCTTCTCGATACCAGCGGTGGCTTACTCAAGGGTCACACCGTTCTGGGTACTCGGAGATGTAGCCTGCAAATTGATCCCCTACACACAGGTAACGTTGATCACCTTCCCATCTATTTTCGCCCGCATCCGTGCTAAAAATACAATAAAGTACATCCAATGCATCAGATCTTTATTTGTTTTCGCAATAACTCGCAACGGAAGAGCGAAAATAAACTCTTTGTTTTTTTTATATATATTTTTTCATTATACTTTTTACGGATTTTGCACCGTTTAATACACAAAGAGAACACACACTTATTTTTTTTTTGAACATAACTTTGTTTATCATCTCGCACTTCCTCCGGCGATTACAATTATGCGAGACTCCACGTCTGCTTTTGTATAATATAAAGTGTTCAAAACTGTTTAAACGTTAATGGAAATGATTCATATACCTATTCAAATTTGCATAAGAAGAAGCCTCGTCGGATACACACAAATTACTCTTTGTTGTTCTTGCGGTGTTCTTTTTATCGTCTGCGGGAAAAGGTAATCTGCGGAAAGCAAACTGAATGCTGAAAAGGCTACGTGGAAAAAGCTATCTAAATATTTTCCCGGTAAAAATAAAGAGAAACTTCTCGTTTTTTTTTCTCTCTCTCTCTCTCTTGTTTGTTTGTTTGCCTCGTTTCCTGTGTGTTTCCTTCTCATTTACTTTGGTTTGGTGGGCGCGTCCGTTGCACCTGCTTTGCTCGGATTGCGATCCCTTTTATTGTTCAGTCGTTTCCACGAATACCTTTCATAAAAAAAAATAATAGGTATGGAAATGTATTTGCGAAAAGCAAACAATTTAATTAGTAGTAAACATTTGAATATTTAATGGTTAAACTAAGAATAATCATTGGATCCATTATCAGAATTGCTCTTCTATTAAATCAAGTTCTATAGTCACTAGAACCATAGTGACTTTTTTGTACCTTTAATGCAATATTGATCAGCATATTTGAGTTGTCTAATTGTTTATAACATCATTTTTTGTGTCTACTTAATCTATATTTATAATTGTGTATTTTACAAAGTCAAATTCTGTTTCAGTTTGTATCCGGAATCGTTCTGCTGTGGACTCTGACGTTGATAAGCATGGATAGATACAGATGCATCGTCGTTCCACCTTACCGCTCCAAGATAACAACGAAACAAGCTTCTTTGTATTCCGGATTAACGTGGGTATTAACCTCGGCCATCTTCATCCCAGTTCCTCTGTGGTTCAGACAACAAGAAACCGAAGACGGAGGATTCATCTGCACGATGATATTCCCCAAATCCGAAGCCATCAATTACGCCCTATGCTTCATCATCCCCGTCCTGATGATAGCCTGTCTCATGCCGATGATTGTCCTTGTCTACAACTACCATAGGATCTTCAAGAAGATCCTATCCACCAAAAACACTTGGGCTACCTCCTGCGTGATGGTCAGCTCAGACAAAAAAGAAATTCGCCGCCAGAGCGAAGTGAGCATGTCCGACATATTCGCGCCGTGGCCGAGGAAATTCTCAAACAGTCAGATGTCCACGACCGGTCGTCACGGCTCTCTTTCGCACCACGAAGAGCTCCGGCTCCACAAACACATACGAGTGGTCCGAGTCCTGTTCCTAAACGTAATAGTAGTGTTAATAATGTGGTTGCCGATAACTCTGGTCATGTTGCTCATCTTCCTGGATGGTCGTAGACCAACCGAAGATCGCAACTTTTTTCTCCGATCTTACCATTTCATAGCCTCCTTGGTCATAGCTTTTCTGAACACAGTGGTCAACCCGTTGCTGTACGGCGTTCTCAGCGATAACTTTCGCTCATGCCTGATGAAGCTCTGCTGCAACTCCGACGATCACCAGGAAAACACGAAAATAATCAGAGAGAATGCAACGTTCACTCCGAGCAGTTGCAGAAATTTCGGCTCGTACAAAACTGCCATCAAGCAGAGCTCCATCAACTCAGTGAGCGAGAATCCCAACGACGTCGTCTGAATTCCAATACATTCTGTACTTAAACGCATTAAGCAACCAAATATACAAGATTAAGAGAATGAGAGAAATATTTCCATTTTATTATATTATTTTGTAATAAGTTTGTTTTGTTAAATAATAATAATAAATGTAAATAAAGTATAATATTTTTATTTCAAGTCTTCTGTATTACAGATAAAAATTAGTAGTAACTTAATGGCAATAATCTTGGACGACGGACAAAGTCTTCTTGATGGTGTTCTCATCGAAATCGTGAATAGATTTCAAAGATTTTACGGTGCGCTGCAAAAGTAAAACAATAATTATAGCAAAACAAATAATGTTGTTAATTGGGTTTAACTTACGGAGAAGAGCAAATTCATTTTTCCGTTGAATTCGCCGAACAGCCTGAAGTAATCTGGTCGTTTCAAGAATAATTGGCTGGTGGACAAAACGCAGCTTTCAATTTCTTCGATTTCTTGCGTGGTCTTTTCCTTGGTGGTAACAACCTGTGAATAAATATGTAATTAATTAATTATCCTGTAAATGTTTGCTATTATTTGTTTAACTTACCATGCTTGGTGGCAAAGGTTTCAGAAGCAAGTTGCAGGTGCTTGCATCGGTGAGAGGAGCCCTCTTACCATTTGGACAAAGCAATTCGTAGTTGGCCTTCTGCTCTGGAGAGATATGACTGAATACTGAACTCTTAACGAAAGCGACGTCTCCTTCGCTGTCCAAGCACTGCAAAGCCCTGGAGCAAGTGTTGTCTCCCATGGAGCAAGCCTCCTTGTCTTCGCACAAGCCGCAGAGACTTTCCTTAGCTTTAGCGTTCAAAACCAATTCCCCTTGAGATTTGGCCAAACATCCTTGACCGAAGAATTCGGCCAAAGCGTTGCCGGCGCTACAATCTTCGGGTTTGGTCAACAGATCCAAACGTTTCAGGATGTTAACAACGGCGTAGAAACCGGCCATTTTGTCACCGGTGTGGCAGGACTTCTTTCCCTTCAATTCGGCAAAGCTCTTGATGGCTGAGTCCTTCTTCACAACAGCTACAGCGTAGACATCAGCTCCGTAATTTTCTTCGATGATGGGTTTAAGTTCGTATTTGGAGAGAGCAACGCTGAGTTGATCAGCTGGAATGGTGACAATGTCGGCGCGTTTCTTGTGGATAGCTTCCATGCAGTTCGTCTCCAGAACGCATTCGTACCTTGGCCTGATGTTCCTGCTGAAGGCGGCCTTGCTCAATCCCTTGCATTTCTCCAAACCGTCATTGGAGCTTACGCAGAATCTGATCGTTTTGTAGGGTGGTCCGTATTCGCGTTCAATTACATCAGTGTAATTGGCTTTGTCCAAGTAGTTCTGAGCTTCGATCAGTTTAGTTTCTTTGGGTACGTTCTTGTCGCTGATTTCCAAAACTTTTTCTAACCATTCGGCATGGGATTTGGATCCTTCGTCGTTCAAATTCTCGATCTTCCTGCGCAACTCGTCGATGTTCTTAACAACGGCGGCGTTGGCCATGTATCCTTGCCATGGGCGAGCGGCCCATCTGCATGGAGTTCCGGTGATTGGTACCTTGGAACCATCTGGGCAGAAGTAAGCGAAATTGTCTGGGTTCTCGGCGCTGGGTTGACCAGGAGTTATTCCAACAGGAAGACCGAAGAACTTGCGGACGTAGATGACCTTGGTCCAGGCGATTTGACCGTTGTTATGGGCCAAGCATCTCAAAGCACCATCGTAACCGGAGAAGTTATCTGGGTAGTCGCATTTGTCTGGGTGCTCGCAAAGCTCGCACAAATTGCTGAAGCGTTTCTCTAAAAAAAAAAGAGTATTTGAATTAATGACAAATTCTTAGTAAAGATTTAAACACTATGTGCGATGAATAATATTAAAATTTCTGATTGGAAGACTTACTCATTTTGGAGTCAATGTCTGCATCAGGGGACCATTTTCCGACGATGCAAGCCTTAGAGAAGAGCTTGGAGAAGGCTTCTAGTTCGTTTTCGCGTGGCGATAAAGTGGGTTCGGCTAAATTACCAATAATGCCCATGTTCTTCAACTTGGTCAAGGGGATTTTGTATCCCACATTTCTGCCCACTCCGGTATGACAAGATCTTAAACCTTTCAAGCCTTGAACGCTGTTGATCTCCAAATCTTTGTGCACGACAGCGACACCTTCATACCTGAACTCGGCTGTAAACAACAATACGAATACATTAAAAAACGAAAACAACAACAAAAAATAATGATTAATCACCTTCAGGTTCTTCGATGGTGCGGATTTCTTCGAAAACCTGAAAATCGCTGTCTGGAAGTTTAGCGGCAACGTACATGTCTTCAGGATCCACCATACCGAAATCAGCTACATGTTCCTTGATCTTCTCGATGCATTCAATTCTGCAAATTAATTTAATTATTACCAGTTCAACAAATTATGCTATATTATATAATTAATACCTGTCTCTAGCTGGGATGCAAACGATCTTAGCGGTGGCTTTAGTTTTCTGTTGAATCATCTCTTTGCAATCATCCATCATTATTTCAGGAACACACATCTTGACTATTACATAAAAAAAATATATAATTATATCAATAATTTTTACAAATCTTCGTGGTAAAACTCACATTCGGCATTAGCGCTTCGCCTAACCAAACGGGCGTTGGCGGCGCAGATGGCCAAGGCCAGAAAAAGGAAAATCTTCATGTCTCGTCGCAGGATTTGCAGATTTCTTATTCCCCAAACACCGAACTGCGAATGTTGCCGGCGTTTTGCTCACGGCCGGTATTTATACAGTCCACCTCCTTCTTCCTCCTCTCTGCGTGTTTGTTATTCATTTCTTTATGCCCATTACGTTGCACTTATTGTTTTGTGCTTCGTGCTCAGATAACTTTTTGATGAACCTTTGCGACTCTAGCCACTCACACACATATAGAAGTAGAACTTTATCTTTATCTTAAAGCGAAACATAAACAGGTCTGGGACTTCCCCAACTACCGGCAATTGAATAATAGATTCATGAGCGGCCTCCGCAGATAGCCTTTTGCATACCAAGTTATATTTTAACATCTGAAATTCGAATTCAAATTACAACAAAAATCGAGAAAAAGTAATTGGAAATGACAAAGAAATTGCATTTATTTTTTTGTTGACCTCTTCTTCGGCCTCTTAATTTCGATAACAGTTGTAATGCAAGTAATAATTGCATCTGACTCAAATAAATATAAACAAAAATTGTTTAATCCAATTAAAAAAACGCATAGATTTGCATGAGCAAATAACAATCATTATTACATTAATGAATCATTTGTTTATTCTTTATCTCACATTGAACGGCATTGGCAATTCACGACCAGTAACTACATGGTAATTCATCTTTTCGCAGATTTCTGCTATTTATTTATTACATGCAAACAGGCAATTCAATAACATGTGCATAATTTATAATTTTCCATCGCTTGCGGACTCGAAGCACGTAGCAGAGAGAGCCCGAATTGACTTTGTAGAAAAACCTCACCACTTAATCTTCGGTAGATTAGCTCCAATTGGTAAACAGATTATCTCGTTTGACAACAGGAAATTGCTGTTTGCACCAATTCAGCAGCATGCGATGCCTCAAATTTCCCTGAAACGAAATCGCTCTTATCATTCATTCATTTCATAATAAGATAATGCTCGGGTTTCACGTGTTAAAGTAAACACATATTTGTCCATTCTCTGCCGAAAATCGCGATAACCTATTAAACTGTAAATCCCCTTTTTCGCAAAAACAATCGATCGCAAATTTATAAATAATTCGACGATTTTTCAAAAGAAAATATTTTACAGACACTACAGAATTTCAATAAATATGTGACAACAAATAAAGTATTAAAAGAATAATTATTGTAGAATAACAAGAATAACTTGTTCCATCAAAATACGATTTGTCTTCTTTTACACTAATTCTTCATTTCCAATTAATTGAGAAAAAAAAACAAATATTTTACACCTTTTCCATATTTACAATCAATATAATAAAATTATATCGTGAAAACACTTTTTTTTAATAAACATTTGTTATTTATTGAACATAAATAATTAACGTAAATAATAACAGAATTTGGTTTATTATTTTGTAAATTGTTAGAATTATTCATTAAATTTGTTATCAAATATTACGAAATGCAATTTCACAGATTGATAAGTAATTATTTATCTTGCATGATGATTTTTATTAATACAATTTTCTATACTTAAGTATAGCCTCATTCAATAAGTTCGTAGGATGACATATACGTGGAGCCTCTATCGAAAAATCCATACGATATTTAGGAAATACCAACTTTCAAATAACGTCTGTCAAAATTTCATGAGAATATGACATTTAGTTCACGAGTTAAAATAGTTTTAGTGACTCTACTTTTGTAGTTTTAAAAGCAATGGAAAAATCTGAATTTTGTCTGTTGATAAAATATTACTTTTTGATGGCTTGATAAGTGTCATGGGGAGACAAATGGTAGAGAAGTGGTTTGCTGGGCTTGCAAATTTAGCAATTGTTGCAGAAAACATGAAAAAAGTCCACATAATGGTTTTGACCGATAGTAAATTGAAGTTGCGTGAGATATCTAACACCCTGAAGATATCAGAAGGCAGTGTATTCACCATTTTTCAAGCTCAAAGTGGACCAAAATCAACAATGAGTTGATGATTCCGAGCGCTATTAGGAACTGTTCAAGCGAAATATGAATGAAACCTGGATCCACCACAACACTTAAGAGTCAAATCAGTCATCAGCTGAGTAAACAGCAAAGGGTGAAAGCCTTATATTGATGCCATAGATAAATTGTTCTACAAGAAAGGTATCGAAATGTTAGAGAAGCGTTGGTATGAATGTGTGTCTCCTGAATAAAGTTGTTGTTTTATTGATCATCCTATGAAATTATTGACTGAGTTGTTACATCATTAACATAATAATACAAATATGTAGCCCATTTAACCTAAATAAGGCGATAAAAATTGTTAAATAAATGAATAAAGATTGAAGCAAAGTAAATTTGCAAATAATTATACTTGCATATTACGCAAATTCAATGCCACAAACCGCTGCTTTTCAAGGATTATCAAGTATTATTAGGATTCTTTGGAAATCCTTGGTGGAAATGAGAAATAAGGTTTGATATCACGATTATATTTTATTATAAAATTTTGATCTTCAATTGGATGATTTTATTAATATCATTCTACAAGTGTAACATTTTCAATGCAATATTTATAATAAATTACAACAAATCGACTTTCTAAAATATACAAAGTATAATTGTACATAACAAGATTCTTACTGTACAATACTAGCAATAATTACAATATGTATATATTTTTTATAAATAATCGTTGCTGTCTCAACTATAATAAACTAAGTCTAAGTCTTTGTGATCTAATTCGCTATCATCTGTAGCAAACATCAATTAATCATTTTTACCGTAATCCGTCCGAAGCGAAGTAAATTACACCGTGTACGACGACGTTTGCTGAACAAAGGAATTCATTACAGTAAATGCAATTACATTAAACACCTGGCAGACCTCAACAATACTAAATAAGCATCATTTTACTTTAGGATGATGTACTTATTTATTGTCCACTTCACGATAATGCTAACTGAAAAAATAAGAGAATGGTAAAATAAGATGGCATTGTATGAGGATTAAATCAGTATTTTAAGGATGATCTTTGTATAGGAAAGAAAAACATATATTTATGTGACCATAAAAGTGAATATTTTTCTTTATAGTAACATAAAGTATCTTCTTTTTTACTCTCATATTTCCCAAGAGACAAAAGTTGTATAATAAAAGTTTTATAGAGAAGATCAAGATCGAGTAGGCTGTATTCTATAACAGAGTACCTACTTAGGCAACTTAAATTACATATTTATACTATTGTATATAACAGGGGTGGCCAAACTGTGGCTCGCGAGCCGCATGCGGCTCTTCAAGAGTCTTGTTGTGGCTAGTTGTGTCACAACAAACACATATATTTATATATATTTTATATTATGATTGAGATTTTTTTTAAATTATTATAACAAAAAGTTTGTCTTGCTGAAAAAAGACTAAGTATATAAGATATTTAGTAATCTTTAAATTTAACAACCAATTTCACATTTTTACAAATATTATGAAAATATATATTATAAAAATGATAGAACTTAATTGTTTCATGATATAGCAAAGTTAAAAAAAGATATTTAATCATATCTTATATTAATCAATCATTTAAATAAAATAATTATATAGATTTTCATGTAAATTAAACTAATGTTAACTAATGTTAAATTCTGTTAAATATTAACTGACAAAATTATATAGAGTACGCTAGTAAATGTGTATGTTTGGTAGACTACGTTTATCTACTGGATTGCCTTGAAATTTAAATGATTCTATATCTACATAAAACATGTAAACTGATCTATAATAAAAACTGTTAGAAAGAAAATTGGAATTGTTATTGTTCAAATATTGAATTATTTCAGTTAAATATCCATTTTTCTTTTATTCTTCATACTTAATTGAATGTAATGATTATTTCTTAAGTTTTTACTTTTTTTTATTGCAAAATGATTTGATGATAAATTTATTGATGATAAATCAAAACTGCTTGTCTTATTATTACACGCAACAGTATAATTGCTATGTTTTGAGACAGTAAATTACAACAAGCAAATTTGATATTCTTCAATATCAAATAAATGTTAAATATAGCATAATATTTACTTCAATTGCGACTGATTAATAGAAAAGTTGCATGCACAGCGATTTTATTTCTATAACAAAATAGTAAACAAATGAATCACTTATTAAAATGTGGCGAATTGATTATTTTTGCAAGAAGTAAAGTATTTATATTACTGATTTGTTATTTAATAGTTCCAATTATCAATTATTATATTTGTTTTTATTATTTGTATGATGGAAATCTTGAAAATTTCATGTTTAAATTGTATCTTGTTTTATAGCAATTTTCCATAAGGTAAATATTGAAACGTTCTATTTAATTAAGTAAAAGAATGAATTGATTCTTTTCTGAATGGATAGGTTTATTATTAACAACAACATTGCAAATTTATTGATCTTCTTCATCTTTCTTCTACGCCTTCCAACTTCACTTAGCTTACGTCAGCCACTATTTTCTTATTATACTTATGTAACTCTAATAAAGTTAATTACTGCTACTAGTGTATGTTACTGGATGGGATTGGAAAGAATGGTGATCAACAAGTGGTGACAAAGAGTCACAAGAAGGAAGGGAAACCTCTGGAGGACATTGATTAGAAGGTGTTAGGTCTATATCTCTATCTTGAATATATTTATTGATAAAAATGAAAAGGCTAAATATTTTTGATTAGTGAAGGTTTAAGTTTTACTTATACTCTTTCTGTCTCTATAAATTAATGTAAAGTAAAGTTTAATAACTCCATCCTTGGTGGATTTAGTTTCATAGTTGAGGATGAGGTTTAGTTAAGAAGAATTATACTAAAATAATTTTTTTAAACTTGTTTGATATGTATGCAACCAAAATGTCATAGGTATGGTGAAGGTAGTAATAGATGTCTCTGAATGTGAAGGTCCGTTTCTATTTACGTCCACCAGGTGAACGATGGGTGAGAGAGATAGTGGGAGGTATGCAAATCGAGGCGCAGGTTTCTGCATTGCCAGTGTCAGTTGCAATCATTAATGGCGTTTGTGCGGTGGTCGGGTTAACAGAGAGAAGAGAGAGAGTGTCGTAAAAGAGAGTTTTTGTTTAGTTGTCGATGCGGTGTTATCAGTGAGAGAGTGCGATCGTCTCCGTCTTAGATTGATTTTCTTTAGTTGTTTTGTTTGAAGTATAGCCGCTGAAGAAGATGACCTCTCCGGGTATACTTCCGACGTACCAGAGGCCCCTGAACAGTATGCAGGCGCAGTTCTTCCGAAGGTCCTTCAGGCCGCGCGAAAAGTACGTCATCCTCCTCGTCGTCTTCACCTTCGGACTGGTATGTTTCGGTACCTTCTTCTTCCTGCCGGAGTTCCGTGGCTCGAACAGCACGGCGGACAGTGTTTACAAAGTGTACGACCAATTCAAGAGGGCCGGGCCCGAACTTCTGATACCGCCTCCTCCTCAGCTGGAGGCGAACGACGACTCCTCCGTTCTGAGGCTGGTGAGACACGATCACGACACCCAGGTGGATCCGCACGTCGTCGGTGACCGCGAAAAGTTGAGAGCCAAGATCGAGCAGGACGGAGATCTGAAGGTGCTCGAGAGGCCTGACATCGATGGCGCCAAATCGAAGTCGTCGTCGACGAGCCGCGTGGACTCTCACAACCAGATGGACGAGAACGTCGGACGCGAAGTGGACACCAACAGTAACAACAACAATGCGGGCATCATCACCGTGCCGGCCTCGTTTAGTCAGAAGTATCCGGTCATCACCGACGGCGAAGACTCGGATCCCGCCATCCGCAAAAAGCGCGACAAAGTCAAGGAGGTAAGTCACAATTGATCCAGAGATCGAACGGTTCTTTAGCCTACTTGCATCGCTCCGATGATTCAACAGTTAAACATAATTTATTCAACGTCACTCATATCAACAGATTAATCATGTAATCACTTAAATCCACCACGAAGAAGGTGCTATAAGACCCGATAAAAATAAACACCTAAATATCTTGATATTACTATACCAAATATGTTATATCTAATTATGACAGAAGAACTGGTAACATACGCAACGAAAAATTACAATTCGATATAACTGTTAAAAATAATTGACTCGATATCAACCAAATCAACAAGTTGACAATGCAATCCATTGCGAAGACTTTGGTATGTGACCAGATAACAAACACCACGACTGAAACACATTTTAACATGCACAATAGTACTAAGAACGCAACGAGACCAATAAAACTACAATTAAAGAGACGATTTAAGTAAGAAATTTAAATTTTCGACTATAAAATCTATCTAATCTGAGCTCCAATTAAAATAAATCACGTCGAATACAATTAAATAATATGTAACTCCATCGAGTGACAGCTCAGCTGTTATCAGTACATTTATGTTTACTTTAAAAAAAATGTATCCTTAAGTCTAATTACAGATTAGATAAGAACTGGTAGCATTGCGGATTCGTAAATGTCTGTAATTCCTTCAAAATGTTGAATCATTATTTGAATAACACGAATATTGTTAAATCTGAAAGAAACCAATGAAATATTTGCAATCATTTGAGAATGTTTCTGAGTACTGAGAAAAATGAACTATGCTGTGATGTAAGACAACATTTAAATTACTCAAATCTGAAATATTGTAAGGATTATCTGCGTTAATGTATGCATTCATCAAAATGTAATATCTACATTCTTCTTATATTATGCAATGAAGTTTAAGTTGAGATTAGATATGAACTTTAATCTTCAAATATAAAATTTAGCAAAATGCAAATTAATTTTATTCTATGTACATTACATAAAACTGAACAAAATGTTAATTACAGTTCTTTCGATATTGTTTCAAATTTTGAAATATTATGAATAAGATTGTTCAATAGTTTTGCTTTGTGATAATTGATGTATAAATCAAATAAATTCATTGTTTTTCTTGAAATCAAACGTGATTTTGAAAACAATTTGTATTTCTTTGATGACTTGAATAAAGTGTTGTCTTAGCTTCGAGCACATTTCTGCTCTTACCAATGCATAAACCTTTATCTATTGCTGTTTACAAAACTTAGCACTTCGAAGTTTTACAATTATTGTTTATATAAGCACGTTCACATGGGAATGCATATGTTTTCTCCACGATGATAATAACTACATGTGTTCCACTCGATTGTTTACCTTCATAACTACACATGTACACACAATGTATTAGTAACTTGTTTATAATTGAAGAGGATAAGTATTTTTTTGCATTCTTCGATGAAATCAAGTTGTTTAGAACCGTTGCTTTTAGCACATTTTATTCATACGTTAAATGGAAATATTTGCCAACGCAAAATATTGTTATTTTAATATTTTTAACATATTACTAAATTCACAAAAATTTATAAATAAAATAATAAAAATTCCATTTCTTTTAACAAATGATAGTTTGCATGACTGTTTTTGTGACGTAACAAATGGAAAGACCTTGATTTTTTCTCTTTGGATTAGAAGTTCAGATTGTAAATCATCGATTTTGCAAAGGTCAATCACTTCATTTGAATTATTTTGATTTGATTTTATATGAGAAAGTATATAAATAAATTGAAGTAAACTCCATGAAATAGTAGCTGCTAAATGTGTAATAAGCTTTGACGAATCGATGTTTGTTGTTGAAATCTGGGTAAACAATGTTGCGAGTGAGGCTTAATTAATTGCGAATTTACGAAGGAAAATGCGAATGCATAAACATATGATAAGTATTGACGTAAATCGACGGATGCATCAAGTTTCCTAGTTACGTTTTGTATTCTTGCACTTTACATACGTCTGATTCAGATTGGTAAACACGTTTCTATAAAAGAATGTTCCTTGATTATCCTTGTCTATAAATAAGTTAAATAGCTATTATGTAATTAATAATTTACAGTTATTAACATTTAGTTTGAAGTGAAGATTAAAAGGTTTTAGGATGAATGAAAACTGAAAATTCGTTATATTTTGTAGGTAGCAAAATGATTTTCAAAGAAAGCCCAACTTTCTTTTTTGTGTTGTTGTGTGACTTTGGGTAGGATCGGTATGGATCTTCCCAGGATGTTTAGTGAAAAGAAGTTTTCGAGGGTAGTTTCGGTCCCCTCGAACATCAAGTTTTGGGTTCCCAAGAAAACGCCCTCGGGTCTCGCGCCCTTTCCTCTTTCTTTCTCACTCTCGCTCTCACACAAACACACTCTTTGTGGCAATTAAAAAAAATTAGGAAACTTCCTGCACCCGAAGCGTATTCAATCTAGATATGATTCCATTACGAAACTTTGTGTCGTTCGTTCATTTAATTTGCATGTTTCTCCATTTCAATTCCGTCGAGTTTCAATTAAGTCATTTAATTGTGGCCGAAACACGAAACACTCGACTTCATCAACGCGAACTTATTATCGCATATTTTTTTATTTGTTTCGTTGAAGTCACAACAACAAAAAAATATAAAGGAATTGCGAATTCAACAAAGCGCGTCCGTTTACTTTTGTTCCCCGTGTAATTAAAGCCATAAATCCCGATTAAACTTAATGTTGCGTTTAATTCAATGATTTATATCGCACAAGTGCGGCTTTCATCTTTTTGTTTGTAGCATTATTATTGCTCGCTGAAATCTATTGTTACTAATTGCTGTTTGCAGGTGAGATCCAAATTGTTTTCGATTATTTATATAGTTTGAGGGTCGTATTTCACCATTAAAGTTTCATCCCGGTTGATTGGTGGCTGTTGCTTAGTCCGGGCATAATTCAGTGAAGAAGGGGCATAATAGATGGGGCCTCGATAAATTCCAATCTTCGAATGAAGAGCGAACGGAATTTGGCGAACGGCTTCGGACTTCAGGATATCGCGTTTTAATAATTGCCAACAGGAAGCAATTTCTCTAGCGCCGAGCTTAATTAATCGTTCCACCATTAGATGCAAGACACAAAGGTGATGGTACGGTTACAATTGATGATTTACACGGACTTCTTGGAATGCCTTTGATATGGTTACACGGAAACTTCATAGTACGAATTATACAAATGATTACTAACGGTTTACATTGTTTCATAATAAAGACTACTTATTCATTTATTGAATTATAATTACATGACAATATACAGATCATAATGAAAAGTAACCCAAAATAAATAATTAGATAAAGTATACTTTTTTCAAAGAACTAAACTAAATGTGTTGAAATTAAGTTTTTGAGTTATTAAACAAAATTCATATTTTTACAAAAATAGGGCGACTATTAGCCGAATGGTTAAGTCGTCCTACCCACGTGCCAGTGGTCACAGGTTCAAATCCTGGTCAAGCCAGGCCCCTTGTTAGTCCTCCTGGTGCTTGCAGCAATAGGGCCATTGTCCATCACAGATGGACAGTGAATTGAATGAGGTTCAGCCAAGTCGATGGACAATGACAGTGTTAAGGATAACAGCAGATTCACAGTCAAAGGAAATAGTGGAATTCTAGAGCATCAATATACTACTGAAGTTAACTATCCACCGGGAAAGATTATCCATTTAATATCAACCGCGATCTTAAATTTTTCAATGTTCTCATTGATGAACAGATTGTAAATAAAATTATACAACATAAAAAAAATTACAAAAATAGGTATAACTTTGTTTTAAATCAGAATTCATTATTATAAAACACTTCCATTTATAATTTGGAATATTCCACAATTGAAATTTAACATATTGTTAAATACAAATTATTGTATAATGTGTTATTGCATAATTTACGCAACAAATATTGTTATTATTATTGCAATATTATTCAAGAACGAATAAGTTACAAAATTTTATTATCATTTTCCTGATTAAAAGTTTGCATTTTTTGTTTGTACAAGTGTTTAGAAATGTTAATAATAATTAGGATGTAATTAAATGTTAAGACGGCGAAAATTTAATTAAGTTTTAATTAACATCGCGTATTGAAACGATGTTTTTCATAGCTGTTGGACAAGGTGTATAATTTAAATAATACTCGATGCGACCGGGTTTCATTAGCAGTATCAGAGTATCGATTCACTCAATAATAATATTTCAACTGGTTCACGCGAAAACGGAAATTAATCCGAGCATCAAACTCGACCCAGAACACGCCCCAGTTCGAAAACTCCCACCAAACTGAAAGAAAAAAAAAATGTGGAATTTTACCTATTGGTTTTTCGGTAATTTATTTTGTTGTATGTCACAAAGAAAAGCAAATATAAGCATGTAAAGAAAAGCGTGGAGAAACTGGATGACTTTTCAAGTGGGTAAGAGATATGACTTCCCAAAGTGCACGTAACTCATTCCGAAAAGGCCGTGGAAACTTCCCGAAAACAATAAACATCCCACGCAGCGGAAGTAATAAGAACCTGCCCAAAAACAAAGAGAAAAGAGAAAAGAAGAAGAGTTAAACTCGTTCCGTTCGCGCCGTGGAAGACGAAAAAATGGGAGAAGAATAGACTCGGGGTCCATCAATCTTAATAAGTCAAAAAAGCGCTTTTATTCTATCCGAGCGGCGCGCGTTTCGTATTGGGGATCCGGCGAAATTTGTGCTCCGCTATGTTGTCCGGTGCCTGTTGGTTATCGTGTACCATAAATTAGTGGAATGCCCTTCTCACAAAACAAAAATAAATGAAGTCCTTGGGAGGGAAGCCCGGTTAGTGAACTTTAATGTGGATGTTCAATGGCCTTCGTGTGTTTTTATATGTGCTCGCTCCTCTCGTGCTGGATGCATGCATGTATCATTGTTTTATTATCTCTGGAAATGTGTGTAGGTCTTCGGAGAAGGGTTTTAATTCGTGAATGGATGGCCTGTCCTCACCAACAAT